AGGCATTACATGGAATCAAGGAGATGACATTATGGGTGAAAAACAATGGATAGATGGCAGGGTCGTAACAGATCCACAAAGGCTTCTTCAGATACTGGAGAGAACAAACAATATAAAAAGAAGTTTCATACGTTTAAGGAAATAAAAGAGAAACTTGAAAATCTGAGCAGATAACAAGAGACATAACTAAGCATATTTGAAAAAGAAAGGGAAAATGTAAGTGAAGTTTATATACTTGAGTAACGTTTTGGGAAGAAATCATAGAATGAGGAAGAAATGACATTCAAAGAAGTATTGCGAGAATTTTCCATATTTGTTCAAAGATGCTGACCATCAGATTAAAAAGCCCAACACACCCTAAGCAGTGTAAATATATATAGACCTAGCTGTGGGAGATAGCAGACAAGTAAGCTATAAAAGACCCTTGGAGGGACAGTGTCACTCAGAGAGAAGTGATAGGTAAGTAGCAAAATTTGTAACGTCAACAGTAGAAACCATAAGACAGTAAGAATCATCTCAAAGTACTAATTAAATAACCAAAAATTCTGTACCAAGTGAAACAGGGGAAAATGCCAAACTTGAGAGTTTACCACCCAATGGCCCTCACTAAATGGATCCTGAAAGATTTAATTCAAATCGAAGGAAAATGACCTCAGGTACGTGGTCTGAGTTGCAAGGAGAAATAATGAACCAAGATAACTATGTGACAGTCTAAACAAATTAATGATTACACATGAAACAAAGATAATCCGTGGGGAAAATAAAGAAGGCTAAATTTAAAATGCCAAGTTACAGCCGCTCAGAAGTTGGGAGAGGAGATTGGAGAATAAGGTTTTGCAAGGTCCTTGTATTGTCCAGGAGAAGTCTATATGGCTACCGAGTGCCTGTCGTGTTGTCAAATATGCATTAAATAGAGCAAACACGAATAGAACAGAGCCAGTGCATACCTTCAAAAGAAATACAAGGAAAAGACTCTACCAAGGAAAACAAAACAGTCCAAAGGAAGGCAAGAAAAGAGGAATAAGAATGTGGGAACAGATGAAATGGAATGAGTCAGAAGTCCAAACTGTGATGTTAGAAATAAAACCAAATTGCTCCTCACATTAAAAGTGAAATAGGGGGGCGCCTGGGTGGCGCAGTCGGTTAAGCGTCCGACTTCAGCCAGGTCACGATCTCACGGTCTGTGAGCTGGAGCCCCACATCGGGCTCTGGGCTGATGGCTCAGAGCCTGGAGCCTGTTTCCGATTCTGTGTCTCCCTCTCTCTCTGCCCCTCCCCCGTTCATGCTCTGTCTCTCTCTGTCCCAAAAATAAATAAACATTGAAAAAAAAATTTAAAAAAAAAAAGTGAAATAGGGGCGCCTGGGTGATTCAGTTGGTTAAGTGTCCGACTCTTAGCTCAGCTCAGGTTATTATCTCAGAGTCTGTAGGATCGAGCCCTGCGGCGAGCTCTGCTCTGATAGCTTGGAGCCTGCTTGGGATTCTCTCACTCTCTCTCTCTCTCTGGCAGCCCCCCCCCCCACTGCCGCCTCTCTCATACTCTGCCCCTCCCCCCTCTCAGAATAAATGAATGAACTTAAAAATAGAGTATGTGGACTACATTCTCCTGTTAAGGCCTTAATAGTCACACCATATTTTAAAAACAAAACAAATGTCTGCTGTTTATTCTTTACAAGACACACATAAAGCACACACACAAAAAGGCTGAACTATGGATAAGATATACCAGGCAGTTAGTAACCAAAGGGAGGCAAATATAGTTATCTTAATATCAAAGGAGAACTCAGGCAAAAAGCACTACTAGAAATAAGAAATTTGCTGCATAATGAGCAATGATTCCATTCACTAGGAAGATGCATTGAAACGTGTGGATACCATGCAAATTTGTGTGTAGCCTCCTATGAAGCCAGAATGACAGAATTAAAGGGAAACCCTTTTGAATCCATCATCATAGTACACATTAACACATTTGGCAGTAATCCGTAGATCAAACAGACCAAAAAAAAAAAAAAAAGTCAGTAAGAAAATAGAAAATGTGAAGAGTACAACTACCCAGCTTGAGCTAATGGACTTGATTTCATCTGATGTCTGGAAAAGACACACATAGAACACTTGCTGGGGTTGACACACTGGACCATACAGCTGGCCTCAGTATAGTTCCAAGGATCAGGATCTGACCATAGTTGTTTTGTTTTGTTTTGTTTTTTCCAATTGTTTACCACAATGCAATTAAGTTAGAAAACAAAGCCAATACGATAATTAGAAAAATCCATTCACTTGGAAATTTAATAACACTTGTCATCAACTTAAGGGTCAAAGGAGAAAATATAATTGAAATGAGATGATGTCATCTTTTCTTAACTTTTCACATCAAACTCATGGGATACAGTTCTTGGAAGGAAACTATTAAATGCCTTCAAAAAAAATAAGGCTGAAAATAGAGCTGAGATCTAATATAAATCAAAGTCCCACAGATGTAGAAGGAAGGAAATTAAGAGAACAGAAATTCACAAAGTAGAGAAATATACAAAAGAACAGATCAACAAAGCAAAATCTTTATGCTTGAAAAGACGGTTCATTTTTTAAAAAGGCACAAATGGAATGGAAATGAAAAACAAATAACAAAACCACAGATACTACAGAGAAAAGCAGTAAAAGGATATTAAGAACAACTCTCAATACTTCAGAACTTTGATATAATGGGAGACTACCTAGAAAGATGGAATTTAACAAAACAGATCCAAGGAGAAACATAAAGTCAGAATAATGTTTTACCTGTAAAAAAAAAAAAAATGCAATCAATAGGAAGCAATTTTACCATGAAGAAAACACCAAATTCAAATGGCTTTATCTGAATGCTACCATTCAGGAAACAAATCATTCCATTCCTACACAGAATAAGAAAGAAATCAGCTCATTTTAAGAGGGCAGAATAACCTTGATACCTAAACTGACAAAAACATCCAGAAGAAAACACTAAGGCCAACCTTCCTCATGAACATGGATATAAGAATTCTGAACATATATCCAACCAGAATTCAACAATAAATAAAAAGAAATCATGATCAAGTTAGGTTTCACCCCAGGGATTCAATTGATTAATATTAGAATTTTGTTAACAGAATTCACCACATTAATTAATAGATTAAAAAGGAAAAGTGATATCATCTCAACAGATAAGGAAAATAGAATCTGACATCCATTCGTGACATTTAGAACTTTTCTTAGGATACTTTTAAAGCCAGCACGATAAATAGGAAACTCCATTTCCTCAAATTTCCTTAATTTTATAGACATCTACCAAAATCATCCAGCAAGCAGGGAGAAGCGTGGCAAGGTCAGGAACGAAGCTGAGATGGCCTCTCCATCACCCTTCCCTCCCTCCTCTTTAATTGTGCTGGGTTTGAACCAGCCTAATAGTAGACAAGAAGAAGAAACACGCTTAAAGGGTGAGAATGTAAAACAGGACAGCCACTGTGAAAAATATGTATGGCAGTCCCTCAAAAAATTAAACAATTACCATATGATCCAATAATTCCACTTCCGGGCATACACCCAAAAGAATTGAAAGCAGGCACACGAGAGCTATGTGCATGGGCATCATGCACAGCAGACAAAAGAGGGAGCAACCCAGGCATCTGTCCACTACCGAATGGATAAAGCAAATGGGGCACAAACATACATTGGAACATCGTTTATCCTTAAATAGGAGGGAAATTCTGACACATGGTACAACATGGATGAATTTTGATGACATTATGCTAAGTGAAATAAGCCAGACACAAAAGAACACTGTATGATTCCATGTCAGTGAAGTACCAAAGTCACCATATTCGGAGACAGAAAAGACAATGGGGGTTGCCAAACTTTATGTTATGAATAGTTTACCAAATTTTTAAAAAATTGTAAGGATGCCAAAGGAAGACATAAAGTTATGAAAACAAAATTTATATGTGGGTGTTATGAGTGCCCATATATACCACTCTCCTGAAGCCCGTTGTTTGTTTATCTTTAGTTATGGTTTGTGAATGGAGATGTAGTCCAGGGACTATATACAAAATTATCATTTTTCTGAGAAAGATCGAAAAGCTTCCATTAGACTGTCAGAGGGGCCTGTGACCCACAAAAGTCTAAGAGCCATTCTGAGTGCCCGCCGCAGCACAGAGGTCATCACACAGGCTGTGACCAGAGTCCCTCCATCAGTAATGTCTCCGGACAGCACCCCCTCACCTCACCATCCTGCCCCCATCTCCCTCCTTCTTCCCTCTCCTCACCTCCACAGCACTTTTCTCTTTTATTCACACTCTGGTTGTTTATTTACTTATTTTTAATGAGAGAGAGAGGGAGCACAAGCAGGGGAGGGGCAGAGAGAGAGAGAGAGGGGGAGACACAGAATCTGAAGCAGGCTCCAGGCTCTGAGCTGTCAGTGCAGAGCCCTGCAGGGGCCTTGAACCAACTAACCAAGAGATCATGACCTGAGCCTGACTCGGAGGCTTAACGGACTGAGCCACCCAAGCACCCCTCATTCACTCTGGTTGCTTAAATATGAAGTGAAGTATATTCTTAAATAGTTCTTGAATTCATTGGCTAAGCTTTAATTCTTTTAAGAGAAATGAGGCCATGACTTCACCCAAACTTCAGCCTTTTTTCTATTACCCTCCATTTCCTGCGTGATCATATTAAACAGGCCCAGCTCTAGCTCAGGGCCTGGGGGCCCAGAAAAGTCTCACACACATGTGGAATGATTAGTCCAAGCCGTGTTCTGTAGCCTTAAATAATTTTCGACCAAATTTTCTTGTTGGTTCCGTATCTTGGGTTTAGCGTGGGCAGAAATGTTAACAAACGGAAGACCGCCCTGCTCAGTGGCCTGGTCTGCCCCGGTGGTGGTGAGGATTCCTGGCAGGGTGATGGTAACAGAGAGCTGTCTCTCAGATGAGGCTTCAATTTAGGGAAAATCCAGGGACTAGAAATCCACCCGAATGAATTCGGAGACTTCCATTTGTAACAAAATGCTTTTATTTCTATTTTTTAATGAAATGCGTTGTTAGGTACTTGCATGAAATATCAAAAAGCATTAATATTGTTTGTTTTAATTCACCCTTCCTGGTCGCAGAAAGGGGGTAGAAAAGATCTGCTGGAATAAAGCCCAGCAGAAGCCACGTGGTGCGAGGCAGTGAAGGGGGTGGGGTGGGGGGCACTTTCGGCGCCAGTTCGCATGCACGGGGTGTTAGTAGTCATGGTAGTTGCCGATGGGTCCGTGCCTGGAGTCGTAGGGGCTCATCGCAGAGTCCTCGTCATAGTGACGCTGGTAAGAATCATAGTAGTCGTCCCCATTCCGACCTCTGTTTAGCCAGTAGGTGACGTCATCTTCAAATTTCTGGAGAAAAAAAGCACAACAGAGAACGGATTGAAGGACACCCACTCCCCCTAGACCACATCTTCCCTCTGCCTTTTCTCCTTAGTGGCTTTTCTTCAATGATCAACAGCTCCAAATGACAATCACCCTTCATTATCGTACTCTGTACTCAGAGGTGAGTACAGCCAGCTAAAGAGTACCGATCCAAGCCCTTGAAAACCTCCGTCCTGTGAGTTCTAAATGTACCCAACACTTAAACATTTTTCTCTTTTCTAGTAGATAAAATGGACGTCTCCCAAAGACAGCAATAACTTGGCCTGACCCGCGGGCACTGTGCACATCTGATTGTACTCATCTTACAGACACTGCCTCCTCTCCCTGTCCTGTCCTGTGCCTGGCCCACTCGAGTGCACAGAGTAGACGCTTGGTAAATTAAATCAACCACCACCGGGGCATGTGATAGCCGTGCGCAGTAGCAACGGTGACCGTTTTATACCCGTGGTGTAGGTTAGAGCTTGCACGGCTGTCCTTCTTCGTTCCACGAACACTTCTTAACTGGGCGCAGCCTGTCAGCCCTATGCGCGGCACCGGAGGGCCACCCAAAGCAAGTTAGGACAGATTCCCTGCCTTCACGAAGCCTACAGTTACTGAGATACACATGAAAATAGGCAGCTGCAATTAGCAGGAAGAAGGGGAAGAAGTACTGAAGTGATTGAGAAGCGTAGAACAACTTTCAGGTTTATAACTGGGGTAGCTGGTCTTTGACACCGTTGCCTCTCTTAGAGGAAAGAGAGACTCTTTGTTGCTCACGAAGGTACAAGGTGAATGTAGATGCAAGCTCACGGATGTGGATGGTGACGACTCGGAGAGATATTTGGTGTGAGATTGAAAAGGCAGGGACAAGGGAAGGCTGACCTAGGGAGGTTGCAGGCTATCCACAAGTTTGGGTCCGATTTTTCTCAAAGTGTGGCCGGTGCATCCCACCTCTAGGGATGCTATAAAGTGCAAGTTCTCAGGCACCCTTTTGCACCTCATGGATGGAATTTTCCGGTGGCTGGGTTGCAAGCATCTATTCCATAAGACTGCCAGTGAACATGCGTATCTGAGCGCTCCTGAGGCTGGAAGGCCCGGCCTCGGCCACGATGGTGTTCTCTGTGGCCACCCACTGGGGTGAGCGGTGGGTCAGCCTGTGCCACGCTGATGGGCACCACTCCGCCCCTCTGTTTGCTGAGCCCCGGGGGCTCTGGCATGAGAATGAGAACATTTGCTTTCCCTACAATACTACAGCTTTTCCCATAGTGTAATAATCTTGTTCCCCAGTTTTTCCCATTTTATAATCTTGTTTAAGGTTTTGGCTTAAAAGATGTTTTCAAGAAAGTAAAAAAAAAAAATATTTTATGAATACAGGAATAACGCACACTCATATTTACAAATGGGTATGTGGGAGTGGGGCAGAGAAAAAGGGGGATTACAACTCCGTTGCCAAAGACAAGCATAGCTGACATTTTGACGTTATTGCCTTCCAGTCTTTTCTGTGGCTGGTTATAATCTTATGGATCCTCACCCTTATTCTGGTTCTGTCATCAGTCATTATTTTAGCCACTTCTCCATGTTAAACTCTTTTTAAAAAATTTTTTTTTCATATTTATTATTTTTGAGAGAGAGAGACAGAGGACGAGCAGGGGAGGGGCAGAGAGAGAGGGAGACACAGAATCCGAAGCAGGCTCCAGGCTCCGAGCTGTCAGCACAGAGCCCGACGTGGGGCTTGAACTCACGAACTGTGAGATCATGACCTGAGCCGGAGTCAGACGCTCAACCAACTGAGCCACCAAGGCGCCCCTCTCCACGTTAAACGCTTAGTAGACTTTTTCATGGACTGCAGCAAAGAAATGCAAGTTACTACAACTGGCATGCCATTTTCATGTTCAAATAAGTACTTTTTTTTTTTTTTTTAATTTTCAGTGAGAATTCCAGGTGTTCCTGAGGATGCGGGTAGACTGGTGCTCTCCCACGTGACTCACGGGAATGTGCACTTTGACAGTGCTTACAGACCCTTACCTAATTCTGCCTTCAGCCCCAGTAACTCCACTGGAAAATGGAATACCAAGGAAGGAACAAACCAAACACAAGGACGCAAGTAACAGTACCTGTCTTTTGGGTTGTTGCCACTGTAAGTAAGTTCATTCATATTAAGTGCTTAGACCCCTGCCTGGCACAGAGTCTGGATGTATGTGTTCAGCCTTTTGCACATGGAGAACATATATATATATATATACATATATATATATATATACATATATATATATATATATATACATACATGAATGGAAAAGACATTGTAATACAATTACATGACTGCCTTTTAAGAAAACTTTAAAAATAAGGCTTCTAAAGAGTTTCATTATTTCTCATCAATTTGTGGTGCTTTGTATACAGACACCCTCTGTGCACAGTACGAATCTTGGGTCCATTTGGAAAAGCCCTTCCAGCTCCCCCGGCTTGGAGGTGTCACCCTTCATCTTTCTGGGCACGCTTTCCGGCTGGGGGGGCAGGGCGAGTGTTCTCGATGTCGCCGCAGAGCCTCCAGTCCAGCGCTCCTGCTGGCCACTCTGCACACTTGCTTCTGTGGAATCCGTGACCTTAACTCCCTTGCCACCTCACCTGTACCTGTTTCCTGCCGGGAGTCTCTGATTGTCAACATTCTTTTCCTTGGATTTCGTGAATACATCCACTCACCTACCTACGTCCTGGACGCAGGAATGGAGGCATCTTTTCCTGCAAATGCATTGCCAAATTTCCCTGAAAGCACATGCAAAGACCACCTCTCTTTAACAGCCACTTTTCAGGGGCCCCTGGGTGGTTAAGTGTCTGAGTCTTGATTTAGGCTCAGGTCGTGATCTCACGGTCATGGGATCGAGCCCCCAGCTGGGCTGAGCATGGAACCTGCTAGGGATTCTTTCTCTCTCTCCTTCTCTGTGCCCCTCCCCTCCTCATGCTTTCTTCCTCAAAATAAATAGACATCTTTTTAAAACTCACTTTTGGGGTGCCTGAGTGGTTCAGTCGGTTAAGTGTCCACCTTTGGCTCAGGTCATGATCTCATAGTTTGTGAGTTTGAGCCCCCTGTCTGGCTCTGCACTGACAGCTCAGAGCCCGGGGCCTCTTTCAGATTGTTTCCTTCTCTCTCTGCTCCTCCCCCCCTTGTGCTCTTTCTCTCTCTCAAATATAAATAAACATTAAAAAATAAAAAATACAATACAAAGTTACTTTTCATCTCTTTCCATTATCCTCATGGGTCTTTGCATCAATCTTGTTGTCTCTGACATTTTTTGGAGGTAAAGCTGCAAATGTTTTGGGGAGGTTATAAATTATCTTAAAAACACCCAGGCACTCAGAAACACTTGAGTGCCTCAGTCGGTTAAGCATCCGATTACGGTTTGGATCACGATCTCATGGCTTATGGGTTTGAGCCCTGTGCTGACAGCTCAGAGCCTGGAGCCTGCTTCAGATTCTGTGTCTTCCTCTCTCTCTGCCCCTTCCCTGCTTGTGCTGGGTCTCTCAAAAGTAAATAAATGTTAAAAAAAAAAATAATAAAAAAAAAAAAACACCCCCTGGGCAAAACTGTACAGATAAGTGAAATCAGATTCTGGATGAATTTAGGTCCCAGCCATTTTGGGCAGTGGCTTCTCTGGAACCCCGCTTCCCAACCATGTTGGGAGAGACTCCCTTTTGGGCGTAGTGTGATGGAAAATTCTAGCTGATGTCCCTACATCTCAATGGTAATGTTATCCAATGCCTGGGTAGCACTTGACAGATAATGAGATCTCCTACTTTTTGGAGTGAACTATGAAGACTACTTTTCTGTGCCATTTGCCCAAGCCAAGCATCTGTCCCCATGGTGCTGCTCTGCAGGGAGCCAGTCCTCCAGGGGCCGGGAATACCCACCGCTTCATCGAAACCCATATAGAGGAACTGCTGGTACCACTGCTGAACCTCTGGCCGAGTCCGGTCCCACAGCTGCCGTTTCTGGCGCTTCAGGCTGTTTAAGAATTCTTTGGCCTTGTTCTCGTCCACCGCCACTTTCGTCTTAGGTGAAGCAGCTGCTGAAATATCAATACCCCACCCCCCCAAAGTACAAAGATTGATTTCTCTTCTTAGCGTGGGTGAATCGCTAACGAACATCCCACACCCCAAGCCCACCCCGCATTGGATGGTATTGACTTTCAACTGCATTCTTACATCACATGTGATGAAATACAGCTGCCCGTCATCTGTCTCCACACCCCTTGGTAGTAAGCTCTCCATTTGGGTGCAGGTCACATAAAGGCACACAGGGGAAAGAAGAAATGCAGCCCATTCCCTGCAGCCACTCACCGGGCCTAGACCCCAGGCCACTTGCAGGGGCTGGTGGCCCACCCCTTAGGCATTTAGGAAACAAGTAGATGTCTAGGGCCATAAAGGTGTATGTTCCTTGCACGTGCAAACAAGAGAGCGCTGTGTCTGAGTAGGTGACCAGGAAGGAAAAAGAACTAGAACAATGAGCTCGGAGTGGCCCAGCCTGGCACCATGGCATGCTCTCACCCCGGAGAGCTGGAGCACACAGGGCCACCTGGGGTCACCATCTGCGGGCCTCACAGATCATCGACGGTTCAACCGAGTCTCGAAAGGTACTGGCCCTTGCTTTAGCATGTGGCTTCTCCCAACATCTTCCCATTGTGGTCTCAATGGTTCAGAAGGCTCCCCTTCTGCAGGACGTGCTCAGGGAACACAGTTCTGCCACTGGGTCTTCCCCTGCTGTCTGTCCCCTCATCTACAAAACTGGGCTGACGGTCCCATCTTGGTGGTGTTACGAAGGCTGCACAGGATAATGGGAGCGAAGTGTTCTATGTGTTCTTTGGTCACATGGATAAGTATCAGTGGATTTGTTTCCTCACTTCCTGCTCATCCCCGTTTCCTTCAGGGCCTGTTGCACCCTTTTGTACACAGCAGGTGCTCAATATGTGTTTCTAGGTTTGACTTGAATAAAAGCTGCGGATGTACATCAGGACTCGTGATTATCTTAGTGGTCTGCTTGCTCCCACCTCTGACAGGGTGGCCCTTCAAGAGCTTCTGTCACCCCAGGTGTCCTGGAGGAGCGGGCTGCCCAGCACAGAGATAGGGGACGGGCCAGGGCCTCACGAGCAGCTAGAAATGCTGGGGAAGATGCTGGGAGCCCCTTCAGAAGCCCCCTGCCCCTGAAGGGAACCCCCAGGGCTCAGCATCCAGGGGATCTCTGGGGGGCTGACTGGGAAGCATATGAATAGCACCAGGGAGCCCCACATTGTCAGGGAGCAGGCTTCAGCCTGCCAGACTCTCCCGTTAACTGGGGCAGAGTTGGGGCGGGGAAGGAATATAAGGGATTAAAGGTTCGCATCAGAAATGTCACACTTCTAAATTTCTAAGAGATGTACAAATTCTTCATCTTACAGGCAAAGATGACAGTTCCAAGGGAAGATGGCCTTCGTAAGACCACATGATTGGTCCAACTGATCTACCTGATTATGGTGGGCCTGGAACTCCTATTGTATGACTCCCAACCTGTTGTGGTTCGACAACATTTTGGGGCCATCTATCACATTCCTTGGAGGAGTATTTTTCACAACAGGTGTTAGTGACAAACAGTTTTTCTGTTCAACCCTGCCCCCGGGAGCTGATTGCATATAGAATACTACAACAGTACCATTCTGTGTCTATTCCACCAATGGAGGTTTTATGTGCTCTAAAGGATATGCTCTAAATTTAGATACGTGCTCTACAGGGTATCATGGTTCTAAAATAAATAGCATTCAATTAACACAGTAGCACTGTTTCTTTTATCTTTGAGTCCACACCGACAGCTTTCAGAAAAATAATTTTCAAACATTTACTGGCAATAATATTTATTCAATGAAATACCACACACACACACACACACACACACACAAAGACCTTCAGATCTGCCAACCTTTTAAGGAGTAAACACTTCTGATTTTCCAAATACAAGACCCCAGTGAGCACACTCAACATTGCCTTTCACTGCGCCCCATTAAGAAGGCAGCCATTATCCATGGGGGGTATACTTACCTTCCTGCTTTTGAAGCATCAGCTTGAGTTTATTCCCACTTACGCCACCTAATGGAATGAAAACAGAAATCATGTCAGCGTTGCACTGTACCCTTTACATTCTCAAGTGCAAAAATCTGAGTTGGAATAAAGCACCGCGTGCCCCTATCTTGTCTTGGCAACTTGGAGGTATCACAGTATTTGATGTTTGCTGCCTTCCTTGTCATGAAGGAAAAACAATTCAGGCTACTCACGGCTCAAACTGGTGACAATGACCATGGCTGACCCAGGGCATAAGGATTTGAGATATTCCCTAGGAGAAGTGACATCGTTCTTTCAAGCTCCTTGCGTCTTATTATGAGGGCCGGTTGTCTGTCATATGTACCTTTCTGCAGACTTTCCCTTTTCATGGTATGGTAAATGGAATAATGCCTCCCACCCTCCAATTCATATCCACCCAGAACTACTGAATGTTTACTTATTTGGAAATAGGGCATTTTGCAGATGTAATCAAGGATCTCAGTTAACTGTGAAAGAGGTGATATCATGTCAGATGGATGGAACCTAAAGTCCAATGGCTGGAATCTTTGGAGGAGGGGGAGGGGGTACAAAGAAGGCAGCCGTGTGAGGACAAAGGCGGGCAAGCACCATGAAGTTTCACTGTCATAAGCCGAGGAAGGCACTTCAGCTCTTTAAACATCCAGTCCAGGGGCACCTGCGTGGCTCAGTCAGTTAAGTGTCTGACATTGGCTCAGGTCATGACCTCACGGTTCGTGGGTTCGAGCCCCGAGCCAGGCTCTGTACTGACAGCTCAGAGCCCGGAGCCAGCTTCAGATTCTGTATCTCCCTCTGAGCCTCATCTGCTCACACTCTATGTCTCTCTCTCTCTCTCAAAGATAAACATTAAACAAAAAAATTTTTTTAATCCAGCCTAGTTTTGTAAGGTTGCCCGGACCCTCTTCCAATTAGGCATTATCTGTACCATTTTCTGACATGTTTATTCAGTTCTAAAAGTATTTCTAACCAGCCTAAACATTTTAACAGAAAATCACATGACTGGTCTGGTAGGACACCCTCCTCTGCTTGGTGAGCAGGTGTGAGGACCCATAGACATCTCTGATCTTTAAGTGCTACATGTAGGTACGAGGCTTGTGCCTGGAAGGGATATCCAAAGCCCCTGGAAGAAACACCCAGCCTCAGAAGTAGTGAACAGAACATAGCATGTTCAGGTGTAAGGAGCTGATCTGGCCCCAGGATGAAGGTGGTGATGTCCACCTTTCTAGGCAGGCCCTTAACTGCCCCATCCATGGACAGGCCCCTGTTTGCATCTGCGAAGGTACAGTTTTCTGGGAATAGGAGTGATGTCTTTTACCAGACTCTCCAAAGTGTCTGGGACCCAAATAAGACTAGAACCCCTGCTTAAAGTATTTACTATGTAATCGGGGGGAAGAAAACACATCCGTGACCAACTGGCTGCCCACAGCTGAGCTTTTCCTGCAGACGCGTTTTATGAGTGCACGCAGTGTTTGCAAACTTTGAATTGGAACATCTCTGGGCCCAAGTCACTCAGCCCACCCCATGGCCATAAAGAGCCATTTCACCTGCCAGCTAGCCCTCTGTAGGCATCTGAATTTAAGCGCTACCCAAGTGCCCTTAGAATAGGTATGCCAGCCAGGGAGCGTGGTTGGCAAGAATCTCTAGGAACCAGGGAATTCTTTTTTTTACATCATACATTTATCACCAACAATCCTCTCAACTCCAAAATTGGGCACAGGGATTAAAAATAAAAATTAATTGCACTGCTAGGAGCACCTGCCTGGTTCCATCAGTTAAGCGACTGACTCTTGATTTTGGCTCAGGTCATGATCTCACGTTTCGTGGGTTTGAGCCCCATATCACTCTCTGCGCTAACAGCAGGGAGGCTGCTTGGTATTTTCTCTCTGCCCCTCCCTGTGTGCTCCCTCTATCTCTCTCAAAATAAATAAAGAAATTAAAAAATTCGTTGCACTACTTAATAAAGACTTACTGGTAACTTCCACTAAAAACATACAAACTTTGTGAAAATTTTCCCAAACCTTCAAATGATTTGGCTACAGATGTTTACAATGTGTGCATTTAATAACTTTTTTTTTAACGTTTATTTATCATTTTTGAGAGACACAGCATGAGCCGGGGAGGGGCAGAGAGAGAGGAAGACACAGAATCTGAAGCAGGCTCCGGGCTCTGAGCTATCAGCACAGAGCCCAACACAGGGTTTGAACTCACGGACTGAGAGATCATGACCTGAGCTGAAGTCGGACGCTTAACCAACTGAGCCACCCAGGCACCCCTATAATGTGTACATTTAATATGGTATGTTAACTGATATAGTGGAATATGATTTGAGAAAAGGAGTCAGCAAATGATTTCCAGAAACACCTGTGGGACACAGATTAAGGCATAAAGTTTCCAATACCTAGGCAGCCCCCCAGAGATGGGATAAGTCGCCCCCAAGAGGTTCCCCATCAAGAGTAAATAAGCAGAGATGAGCACTTGACGGTGCTCCTATAGAGGGGATTATTTAATTAGATTGGAATGGGGCTACTTTTAAAGGCTGTACCTTAAGAATCATCCAACCTTAACAGTCAATAAAGAAATCTATGAACACATTTGCCAAAGCACACAGGTCTGTTTCTTGGCACCATTATTAGCATTCATTAATATCTTAACATTCGTCCATCTCTAACGACAGCGTGGCATACACAGAATTAAGTATAGCCCCTCCATCCGTTTGCCTTCTGTAAAAGCACTTGACAGAAAATGAGTGAAATGTGGCCTGATGTTGAAATAGACATTGGATATTGGCATCTGCCCTGCTGCTGCGATTTCTAGCAGCAAATGTGTGTCACTACTGTTCCAGAAATGAGAGCCTCACCAGACCTCAGCTCTACAACAGAAAGGCATGGAAAAATCCTAAATTATGAATTAATAGTTGCCACTGTGCCAATTACTATACCCTGAACTACAAATATTAATACATATAATTGGACACCACATTAAACTTGTTTGAAGAAAAAAATAAAGAATAACCGAATAGCTGTGAATTTTTTCCAATAGTATGGAATTTTTTTTTTTACTCCTACATCATCAGTCACTGTATCTAGATGGTGATAATAGGCACTCCTGAATTTATTCAGCCTGACATTAGATCTCCCAGCAGATGCAGAATTGCAGGATGTCCCTTTGAAGGTGCTAACTATTAATAAATTGCTCAAGAAGGAGCAATGATCATTTTCTCCATTTAACGTTTTCGGGTGTCATAAGGAGCCACCTTGGGGACTTGACGTATGTGAGGATTTTCATTTTATGGCATGAAAACTTTCACATTCCAGCTCAATGATGATAATATTTTAACTGACACTTTTCACTACGTTCTTGGTATGAATGAAATAAAATACAGGTCTGAAGAGGGAAGGTCTATAGCAGGTGCTCACTTGCTTTATTCAGTTGTGCTTCTGAAAATGGAAGGCACAGAGGAGGCGGGGCGGATCAGTCATGTAATGAGAAATTATTGATGAGCCTCCCCTGTGGTTGTAACTTAGAAGCAGTTCTCCTGACTTGAACAGGTCCCCTGCTGTTCTGGCGACCAGGGGCTCTGTCTGACCTCAGGGCTCCTGCAGCAGGCTTCCTCCCCGCCCCGTCCCCACCCCCCCACCCCCACAACCAGGAGTTTGGTTTTCTACACCTATTCTGAAAAAGCAAAGCACAGAAGCTGAGCCATCAAAGGTGTCTTCCATTGTCATTGCCAGGGCCCGGCCACTCTGTGGTGGGAAGAGCACCCATCTCAGGGTCTTGGGCCAGCACTTCATGCCTTCCAGCCCCAGTACCCTGAGCAGATCTGGGATCACAATATGCCTCGCAGACACGTGAGTGTCAAAAGGGCTCACGCATGCGCCAGGTCCCTAGTGACACATAAAGGATCCTCAAGTGGAAGGTAGTATTGTCAGGACAAAACCCTAAGGTGGGGTCTGTGGATTCCCAAGGTTCAGATGCCTGCACATCCACCAAACTGCTTCATCTTGGGGGGTATGTATGAACATGCTCCTTTTATAGGCAAGGAACCTGGAATTTTCAACTGATTCCCTGAGGGCTCCCTGAAGCACAGAAGGTTAAGCATTTCTCCTTTAAGAGCATTTTCCCTGTCTGGGTTGTGAGGCCTGCCTGCAGTTTTGCAGACCTGGAACTTCACTGGGTTGCCAAGCGTGCCCCCCTCCCTCCCCCGCCCTCCTTAGGGAATTGCCTGGAAAGGCATCTCCATAATGATGCATTCTGGCTCCCCTCAGTCCTAGAAGGCCCCACTGCCTAAAGCTCCCAGTACCCCTCTGCCCCTTAAGTTAGGGTCAAATCACTTCTTGCCCCTCCATGGGACCTTGGCCCTCACTCTTTCCCAAGGTGACCACCCTTGTCCGAAACCTGCCCTTGGCCCTGGTACTCTATCCGCCTGCCGAAGCGCGCCACTCCCACTTCTGCCAGAGCAAAACCCTATTACCCGTTGGCACTTGCTGGGACTCACGGTCCCTCGGTCCTCACCCCATCACCCATCTCCCTCCCTGGCGCCCTGGCGCTGCCGACATACCTGGGCCCAGGCACAGCAGCAGGAGTAGCGCCAGCGCGGTCATGGCCAGGACAGTGAGCCGCGCGGAGGAGGCGGCCATGGCTGCAGCGGGAGGGCAAGAGAGAGACGCGCACCGGAGAGCCGTCGCACGAGAGGACTGGGCGCACAAGGACAGGGGCGCAGGCTGGCGGGCGCTCCCTACATTCCAGCCGGGGCGGGACCTGTCGGGCGGGCGCCGTGCCAACGGGCCAGGGGCCAAGCGGCCGCTCGGAGAGCCACCGAGCCCCCCTCCCCGGCCACCGCTCCACAGAGGCGCCTCCCAGGCCAGTGGGAGACGCGATGCTGGGGCCACCGAGAACCGCCCGGGCCAGGGGAAAAGATGGGGGAGACGGCTGGCTCTTCCCCTTTTCACTCCGCGCGAACACTTCCCTTCCTCCCCTTCTCTCTCCCTCCAGGGCGCAGGGCCCGGCTCCTGCCTGGGCTTATAAAGTGGCCTTTGGAATTTCCTTAATTCCCCGACGCTGCGCTTAAAGATGCCTTTGGCGGTGCTATGTTTTGTGATATTTTGAAAGATTCCACAGTCTGGGTTCAGAACTGCAGTTCAGGAAAACTTTGCCCCCCAAACTACTCTGATAGAAAAGCCTTTCAGAAACCGGGAACCTGGTGAACGTGGTAGGTGTTCTCAGGACAAATGGGTCCCTTTATGGGTCCTGTAATCTGCGCGCTTGAAAGACTTAAAGGGAGGCCCGGAAGCGACCCCCACAAGTGCCACCCCAGTACCAGGCCTGTGCAAACACAGAGGACACATACTAGGCAATACTGAGTGGGGAAGGAAAACAAAAACAAAGTTGTCGCAACTGATTTCGAGCAGGTCACCTACATTCACAAAATGGCCATGATGTGAAATTACCTTCAGGGGCCCTTCCCACCTAAGATCTGCTCTGAACTCCTCCGTGGACTACCTCTCTACCTGCTTCCTCACTTTTTATACCTTTCCCTGGTCAGTGCCTACTATCTCGCCATAGAATTCGCTCTCCATGTAACGCAGTTGGATTTCCGCAGCAGGCAGTGAGAAAGAAGTACGTTAATTTTGAGCTAGAGAAGGCAGATAGTGGCCGGCGGAGGAAAGAAAAAGCATGAAGTGTGTCAGAGAATCACAAAACCTTGTGCTGTCCCGGCTTCCCAAGGTGCCAGAGCGAGCCTGAAAGGCGGGCAGGGAAATGCTCACAGCCCTTAGGGGAAAAGGAGGATGAAAAAAGCAACAACAAAGGTGATGAAGTTACTTCTGCGCAGGGACGAGAAATTTACTATCAGGAAGAAAACCAAAGGAAATAAAAAGCCAGTGTTCTGTTTGGCTTAGAACATACGTTAAAGATGTTCATTGTAACCTTTCCTTTCTTGTGGAAATCATCCCCCCCCCCCCCCCACTCAGTGCCCCTGTATTCCAAATCTCCAAGGGAATTTGCTTCTAATATAACATTTAAATTCTCTCCTCTTAACTAGGGTCTGACCAAAACTGAGCTACCGCAGCCAGTAGGGGCAGCAGTCACATCTCTGGACAGTTTCCTTCTTCTGTCTTTTGGATACAGACCTACATTTCATTCCCTCACCCATCCCTTCCCATTTTCAGCTGAAAATGCAGAGCAGTGGTTTTATTTTTTTCTTAATTCCGAGATCCTAAGGGGGAAAAAAAAGTCTGCTTTAATCAGCTCTTACAGTGGTAGCATTTAAGACACAGAGAATACTGAATCTTAATTTTTTATGAGCCTATATTTAAAAAAAAAAAAAAAAAAACCACCCAACCTTGATTACTGTTTTAATATAGAATTGGTAGGGCAAATCAAGGATCCTACAGAAAAAAGTATTTTAAAGTAATTGCCATAGGTGAGAAGAAGATTCCTTCTTCTGATTCCTTTCCCCGGGGAAGGGATGGAGGTGAGCTCACTCAGGTGCCACCTCCAGGCTGCTCCAGCCAACGTCCTGGGGGACCAGGGAACAGCAGCATCTTTCACGGGGAGGGCTGTGGTAAGAAGACATTGCCAGGAGAGTAGGCTGAAGTTCAGTGTATCCCTTCTAACCACACAGATAAACACGATCGTGTTTACTTGAGAAACAAAAATGGTTTCCAAAAGATTTTATAGTTCCCGGGTAAGTGGGATATTACACACCCCAAAATATGACCGATTTCTCCAGCTCTGCCAATCATAGAGACAGCCTCTTTAGGCAAAATGGAAATACAACAATACAGAAAAGTGTGGAGATCAAATATACGACATCATGATCAATAAACATTATCAACCCTCCGGGGCCCTTCCCTATCAATCCCCACCCCATAAGTAATGTGCCATGATACTTTGGTTTGAAGCAATCCTCTTTGTTTTTGTTTTGTTTTGTTTTAGTTAATTTATTTATTTTGAGAGAGAGAGAGAGAGTGGGAAAGGGGCAGAGAGAGAGAGAGAGAGAGAGAATCCCAAGCAGGCTCCATACTGTCAGCCCAGAGCCCAGTGAGGAGCTCGAACTCATGAGCTATGAGATCATGACCTGAGCCGAAACCAAGATCCAGACACATATCTGACTGAGCCACCCAGGTTCCTGGAGGCAATCTTCTTTGAAAAAATATTTCATTGGTATTTCATTTTCATTTTGAAAGGAAAGAAAGAAAGAAAGAAAGAAAGAAGAAAGAAAGAAGAAAGAAAGAAAGAAAAGAGGGAGGGAGGAAAGGAAGGAAGGAAGGAAGGAACCTCAAAATAAAGACTTATGGTTACCAACAGGAAGATACTAATTAGTAAAAGAGGTATTAAAAGCTTCAGATTCGTGACTGTGCCAGTTTAATTCAGTTCATCTCTGTTCTCTTGTCTCAAAATGCTCACTGGGCATCCTTTGCCTCGACCACACTCCAGAGGGAAATCTCTTTGGCTCCGATATTCTTGTCCAACTCCACTCTGGTGGTAAGGTCTTATCAGCACTGATAAAACAGCACACAGCTCTCTCAGCTACTGACCCCACAGAGTCCTTTGTTCATGTTCATTCATGCCTGGTCCAGGGTGCCTTGGATCCTGCCAGGTGAGACTTTTTTGTCTCTCCCTTATAAACACAGAGTAGTTCAGCTGTAGAGGGGGGTCTGGGAAGGAAAGTCAACTTTGATTGGGCCCCAGTGGCCGTTGGGGCAGCTTCTTCAGTAAGAGATTCTGAGGTGTGATGATGGGAGTGTCCATGTTCCCTACGAGGTAAAGAGCCCTTTTCACAAATAGTGTTTGGACTATTTGTCCAAGGACTCTGTCTTTCTAGGGGGCTGCTGGACTCAGGTGCTCAGCTGGAGACAGTATGTCGGTTGTTGATATCAAGTTCCTTTCCATCTGGTTATTCAGAAGTATGTATGAAATAGCAGCTACGTATGAGGCACTATGAAAAGTCTTTTTTTTTTCCTGTTCACTTAACTTGGTCATCTCAAGCGCATGGCTCCTCTTTCTCCCTCTGCTACAGCTGGTGCCATTCTTTATTCTGCTGTTTCTCAAGCTAGGTCTAAAACCCCCAAGGTGCCTGTTAATGCACGTTTCTGGGTCAGACTCCTGAGAATTCTAATCTAGTCAGTCTTGGGTGGGACCCAGTTTATTTATTTTGAAAGAGAGAGAGAGTATGAGCGGTAAAGGGACAGAGAAAGAAGGAGAGCGAGAATCCCGAGAAGGCTCCATGCCATCAGCACGTAGCCCCCTGTGGGATTCCATCCCATGAATTGTGAGGTCATGACCTGAGCTGAAATCAAGAGTAGGACGCTTAACCAACTGAGCCACCCAGGTGCCCAGAATCTGCATTTTCTCTTTCTTTCTCTTTCTTTCTTTCTTTCTTTCTTTCTCTCTTTCTTTCTTTCAAAGTGGCTCTTAGGGAATGCTGATGTGTGCAGTGCTCACATGCATTCAGAGACACTCAGCTCACTGGGATCTCTGCCAAACCTCACCTGCTTCCCTCAGTCCTTGTCTGGCCTCACTGCCCCACTGTACACATTCCCTGCCCCCCCCCACCATGTACCATAGCATCCCCAGGGGCTTAATTTCTGCCATTTGGTACAGCAGCTAAGAATGCAGGCTTTGGGTTCTAGTTCCTCCTATGTTGTGTACTAGCCTTGTACCTAAGTCGTGTGTCCTCTCTGGTTCTGCAGAATTCAAGAAATATTATCTATATGTTGACAGCAGGAAGTCACATGTACAGAGCCCAGTGTGTAGTAAGCACCTCAAAAATGTAAGCAATGGTTATCTTTACCAGAACTTCCCTTTGAACTCTCCACTCAAGGTGTCTGTGTGTTCTGTCCTCACCCTGCAGCCGAGGCCAGGAGTTCCAGGAACCCTAATTACCGATGGGTCCTGATCCACCCCGCATCTCATATCACACATTACCGGACTGACCTTCTCTTTTATTTTTATTTTTATTTTTATTTTTTTAAGACAGAGACGGAGAGAGAGAATCCCAAGCAGGCTCTGCACTGTCAGCATGGAGCCTGATGCAGGGCTCAGTCTCATTAACCGCGAGATCACGACATGAGCCGAAATCAAGAGTTGGGTGCTTAACTGACCCAGCCACTCAGGTGCCCTCAGACTGACCTCCTCAAACACAACCGTGCTGTGTCCTCCACCTCCAAATGCCACAGTGATCATCTTTCTCCCTCTCTTTCTCCTAGTTCACAAGAAATAAGCATCTGGAAGAGCATGCTAAATGACATCACTTGGTGGGGGTGCCAGAAGCCTAAGGCACACTAGGGAATTCTACAGGATGAAACAGCATGGGAAAGGGGGCAGCATGTGACATGTAACTGCCATTTGTTGCAAGAGGCCTTAGAGACAAATCAACCAAATGCTGTGTGGGATCCAGCGTGACTCTGAGTCAAACAAACCGAGAATAAGAACACAATACGAGAAATGTGATAGGAGAAATTTGATTACAGAATGGGTTTCTTATTAAGGTCATTCCTTTTTTTTAAGTACGAAATGGTTTTATAGTTACTTAAAAACATTTTTTTAATGTTTATTTTTGAGAGAGAAAGAGAGGCGGTCAGGGGAGGGGCAGAGGAAGAGGCTGACACAGAATCCGAAGCAGGCTCCAGGCTCTGAGCTCTCAGCACAGAGCCAAATGCAGGGCTTGAACTCGCAAACTGCAAGATCATGACGTGAGCCAAAGTCAGATGCTCAACTGACTAAGCCACCCAGCTGCCCCTGTAGTTACTTTTTAAAGCCCTTAACTGTTGGAACTGCCCACTGGAATATTTATGGGTAAAATGATGTATGGTATTTGCCTAAAAATATTTCAGGAAAAAAAGTCTGGCAATACCGGGGCATTTGAGTGGCTCAGTTGGTTAAGCATCCAACTTTGGCTCAGGTCATGATCTCATAGTTTGTGGGTTTGAGCCCCGCGTCAGCTCTGTGCTGACAGC